TACCTAAAAATACCTTTTAAATCCATATAACTTTAAGCTGGTGGGCTTTTTGTATTTATTTTGCTAAGGTAAATATTAATAAGCCAATTTGGAAAGTTGTTTATTAATTAGTAAGCCCAGAGTGACAATTCTCTGTAGGAATTCAAAAATCCTAATTCTTTGCTTCTTTAATTCCTCATTAACCTTGATTAAGTCAGAAAGAAAGGGAAGTTCAGGATTTGACAATAATTGCTGCCTTCTGAGAAATTCTTGAGATGTTATATACTCCAAATCAAACATGTACCAAAACACTGGAAACTCACAGCAACTCAATCATTGCGCTGTCAAAACCCAAGAATTCCCTCACTAACCTGACAGCTGGAATATTATCTACTCTAAGAAGCCTTCCTTGATCTCACTCTGATTAACATACTTCTCGTTCTCTTTATTTTTATATAATGCACTGTATGCAACTCCTTCACAGCATAAAAGGTATTACTTTCTAATTACCCATTTATATGTCTGTATCTTTTTAAACTGGAAGCTCCTCCAGGAAGGCACAGGGCCTCATATGGCAAGTATCCCACTGCTTAATGCAGTTCTTGACCTGTAGGATTAATCCTCACTGGATATTTGCAGAGTAAATAAACAAACGATCAGGGTTTACAACACAGGCCTTCCAGCTGGACACAGGACAGTGTCTGCAGTCTCATTCCCTGAGGCCCTAGGCTTCCAGCATCCACACAAATGACACATCAGTTCAAAAGACTAAAAGGATGATTTTGGCTTCCTTGAAAGATCCCACAGCTGGGGGTTCACCTCCAACCTGGAGGAATGGCTTTTATGGACACCATTTCCAATTATCCTAAAAGTTCCACAGAGTTGAGACTGGGTTAACAGTAATTTCCTTGTTTCAACCTATTTCACCAGAGAGAATTTGTTTATAATGCACAAAAAGCAGCAACACACGGGGAGATGGAGACATGGAGGGGCACACAAATAACTGCTTCCCGGGCAGGTTTTTCCACCTCAGGCTGCCCAGGCAACTGTGAGGGAGCTTCCCACCAAAAATGCAAGCATAAGATGACCTAGGTGTCTTTTTAAGGAGCGGAAACAAGATTTTAGAGGGCTCTTTCTTCACTGAGAAGAGGCTTTTCCTTATTAGTGGGTATTTTCCTTAGAGTCCATCATACACACTTGTTCAGAGTAGTGAGAGTTTTCTAGCATCAGAACTATACACATGGAGGTCTGAGCTTGAAGATCTTTCTACTTTAGTAGGAATTTCCCTTAAAAACACAACATAGTGTTAAGTTTCACTCTGTACGTTAAGAGGAACAAACCCTGTCAAAAGTCTCTTCATGGGGAGTCATGGTCTCTTCCCTGCCAGGGTACCACGCTCCACGAGCTTCAGCTTAACTCGGCAACTCCCCTTCAGAATTGAAACCCAGTTGTGTGAGCTTTCACATCACACTCTTGGTAGAACTGGTTCTAATCCAATACTTTATCCGTCTGCGGCTTGTTTCTAAGGTGAAGTCAGCACCAGTGTCCCTGTGGTCTGGCAAACAAGGAGCCATACGATCACATCAGTGGAAATCAAACCCCAAACCAGTAGTGGCAAGGATTCTGCAGATCCCAGAACATGAGGCAGCCTTTCTGGGGAAGAGAAGGGTACACAGGAGATGGTCCGTCCAGGAACTGAAGAGCAACTATGTCGGAGACAAGTCATTTTCAAGGTCATACGGATGCTTTACAGCTACACAGAACCACTCAGGCAAGAACGATGACTACAAGTCAGTCTTTCTCATAACACTGGGAGGCAGTACAGACCACGCAAGAGCACAACAGACCAGGAAGCTGGACTCCAGCGATCTTAGAAAACACCGGGCACAGCCCTCTCCCTCACACCCAAGGAACCAGAGGTCCAGAGGCTTTAAATGACCCTGTCCCAGGCCCCTCAGTTTACCCGGGGGCTAATCGGGGGCCTCATTCCTACCCTGCACTGTTTCTGCAACACAGCACTGTTCCCCTTGTCTTTCATTTCTTTGCCACTGCTCAGTTCCAGAACAGAGTGCCCTCCATTTTTCAGATAACAACGGTTATTTCCAAGTGTCACCTCCTCTGAAGAGCCTTTCCTGACCATCCAACCTAAAGTAGACCCGTGAGTCACTGCCTGCTTTATTTTTTTATTACAGTACTTATATCTTCCTGTTTATCTTTTATCAACTACCCTCACAGCAATGTAATAAGCACCACAAGAGAAGAGACCTTCTTTGCCTCACCCAACACTGTATTTCTGGGTCTTACAACTCTACCTGGCATTTACTGGGTGCTCAATAAATGCTGAAGTCAGCTACTACACATATAAAATAGTTTCTAACTTCCTAAAGCAAAGAAATGGGTGGGGGATCAACAGGAAGAGTGTCATTCCCAATTTATTCAGATCTTTATGAATGCAAATATCATTTCCTCTCCGCTCTGTAATTCTTATCAAATGACTACCAGTTCTGCTCTCCCAAACAGGAGAGTGTGGCAGACACTAACTCCGAAGGCCACACAACTGATCCAGGAATGAAAGGGAAGAGTGACACCAGAGACTAAGTGAAGCCCAGCCAGCTAGAGCCTCCACCTGTGGCTGGGTGGCATGATGAGAATTTTAGGGCATGGAGGGAAACTGTTTTGTTTTGTATCGGATAGAAGGAAATCTTAACCTTTAGAAAAAATAAATAAGTGACAAGAAAGCACGATGATAGCTGTGACTTATTATAAAAGAGAGAGGTTTGGGATATGTTTTAGGACAAAAATAAACTCAGCCTCATCTTTTACATCTAAAATACTATATAACATTAATCATGAAGGACATCAACTTAAGTACCAAACTCTGAAGTATAGAAATACATTTCTGCATGATTTTCAACAGAAATAGTCAGCTTTAAAGATTTTTGTAGCAAAGGATGAAGCGAATCAACAAGTGTAGCCCTGGCATGCTGCACTTTTGAGGGCTTTCTGTTGAGAGGCAGGACAGGAAAGGCCTGCTGGCCATTCCTGAGTGTTCAGTAACTAAAAGGACAACGTTGTTTCAAAAAAGAAAAAAAGAGAAGAAAAAACCCAAAACACCAAAACATGTGCATAAGCTTTTGCTTAATTTACTTCTACTATGATGTCATGAGCTTCTAGGGGGCAGGAGCCGTGATTAAATCATTTCTATACTCATAATAACCAAGCCAGGTGACCAGCTCAGAAGAAGTCCTCGATTAATGGCCATTAAGTTAAATTAAATGTGGACATTGTCTGTGGTTATATTATTTTCCAGATGTGCTCTCTGGTTATATAAAAGGATGGTCCTTTCACCTGGAGAAAAGCCTGCCACTTAGTACTAGTTTAGAAGAGTTTTGATATCATAAAATTACAATGATGGGATTTTGAAAATCCTGGGGAATCTGAATAAAGATCAAGAAAGTTTCACAGAGGAGAGGGCAATTGACTTAGATCTCAGTAGGAGAAAGAAACACTTTCGAGCTCCAACTGTGTGCCAGAGGCCGGGCACATGTTACACATAAACAACTGTAGGAGGCAGGCATTGTTATTCCCATTTTATAGATGAGGAAAATGAGGATTTAAAAGCTAAAGTAGATTACGCAGGCAATCAGCTGATTTGGTACCAAAATCTCTGCTGGCTCCTGTGCAGAAGTTACTTGAAATTCCAGCACCAAAATTAAATTCTAAGAGTCATCTGGTTTAGCCAAGAACCAAACAACCTGCAGGCTAATGCTCCTCTTCTTCAGAAACACTGCACTGATCTACCCATTCCTCGGCAGAGGAAATGGGCTTTCCAAGCACAGGGACAACACGTGCAGCGCCCCCTCCTTGTGGGGAACTGCTAATAATCCTACCTGGACTGAGCACAGGACTCATATCGGATAGGGTGGAAGTGAGGAGAGGCAGGGAGCAAGAACCATCAAAGGTAAAACCGCGAGGGGAGGGGACAGGCAGATCCACACCAAGTGGCTTGTACTTTGTCCTCCAGGAGTGAAAAGTACTACCTGTTTCTAAGTAAGGAAGTGACACAATCAATTTGTGTTTTAGAAAATTCCTCTGGGAGCAAATGGAGGATGAACTGGTAGTAACAAAGTCCGTAGGTAGGAGAATTATCCACAGGCTATTCTAGGAATCAGATGGGAAGGAAGCCTGAGCCCCTGAACCAGGGCTGTGGCAGTGGTGAGCGGGAGGGGCAAGACTCAAGGCAGACCCCCAGGTGGAGCTGCAGGGCTTGGTCAAGTGCATCTCCTTCAGGAAAAACTGGTTGCCAGGAGAAGAAGAAGACACACCGTGAATTTCAAGCTTAACAAAGACCAAGCCTTAATTTACAAAGCCCGGTTCCCTGGGATGATGGTCACGAGGATAAAAATAAAAGAATCATAATAAAGTAAATATTACCTACAAATACTAGTATGTGCTATCTGGCAATAGTTACCAATAAAGAATCAAATAAGTGCTCATACCCTATTTTTAAATAACAAGAAAAATATAAAGCACACAAGTCTTTCTCACAGGAATAAATAAATTACTTTAAAATGTCTACATATTTCAATTGAGAAGAAGTCTCTAAGAGCAAAAACTTGGACTCTCGGGCTGGAGTGGTGCTCCTCACACCCGCCCCTGGGTTGCTGAGTAAGATGGCATTTTGCTTACTGTCTGCTGTTGTTGTTTGTTCTTTTTATAAGCAGGCAGATTTGCCACTGGTCTGTAAGAAGTGGTTGAGAAGAAAGAGTGAGGGGAAAGGGACTGGAGAAAAAATAAACAGGGCAAAGGGGATAGAAGTGAAAAGATAAAAGCACACTATATTGCAAATACATAGCCGGTATAAAAACCATCAGATTTTTTTAAAGCACTAAGTTGACTCTGGTGGAGTTTTCCTCTTTAAGGAACAATGTTGAATGAAATCAATATGAGCAAGAAGATTCACAAGCAAGTGCCTCTTTTCATAACTAATGTCAGCAGTAGGACCAGAGAGTCGTTCTTACCATGTTTCAGATGTAGGCAGCTGTCATTCTTGGACCTGTACCTGCAGAAAATTGTGTCTTTAACAAATTTTTACTGAAGAGGTTTTCGTACATTCCAAATACGTAGTAGCTACAACATCACGTGGACCTGCTTGCTTTACTTTTATGGTTCTTATACCAGCCATTTTTATTTGTGCAGGACAAGTAGTGGCCTTATTTTTAATGAAAGAAAAAAGGGAAGTAAATGGGACCTCACGGATGCCTTGAATTAATGTACAAGAAAGATAAACCCTATCATCATGTTTTATACTTTTTTAAAAAAACCAAATCACAGAAAAGATTCTCAAGGGGATACAAGGTAGCATGTTTAGTAATCATCATAAAAAACTATATTTTAAGGAGTTATACAAATAAACAAGGAGCAGAGGTGTTAAAGCAAAGAGAACACAGACAACAGAAGCAAAAAAAAAGTCAACCACAGTTCACAACCAGGATTCCAGGTGACAGGGTTTGGGAAAGAGTTTTAACATGTACCTTCACATAGTCACATTTAAAAGAAACATCTTTTACAAAATTCTAAAGAATTTCAGGAAAAAAGCAGAGTTGAAGAATCATAAGCTATCGTCACAGAAGAAAGCAGTGTGTAGAAAGATGCAGACTACTTCAAAAGGTGTTGTCAGAAGCATGAGAATTGACTGGAAAGTCACGTGGTGCCTACCTGATGTTGATTCCTGTAGTTTCTCTCTCTTCCTTTTCTTTTTCTTACCCTGAAAGAAGAGAGCCACACTGTCATGTCATAGACTGTACCTCGAACACATGGATGAATGTGATACGAAAGTACAGGCAGGTGGTCGGTCAATAAAGAGATAAAGGTGACTCATTATCTCTCCCTCACCATCTGTATCTGGAAACAGAGTCAGAGAGTGAGAGAGAGAAAATAAATGATCTCTTTGTGACCTTTGTCTCTATAGTTTCTTATTTAACATCATCAGATTTGACATTGTGAGTAGACAGATGGACGGACACACATACACACACATGCATGGACAATGACGTCCTAGAGCTACGGCCACAGAACTCCCTTTGAGAAAAGCCAGCTTAACCAGGAATTCCTTCTTTTACTTTTATTTATTAACTCGTTTTTAACTGAAATAGAATTGATTGTACATATCAGTGGGGTACAGCGTTGTACATCAATACCCGTGTGCAATATGTGGTCCTTAAGTCAGGATAATTATTATATTTATCATTACATTTGTGGCCCTTTACCAATTTCTCACTAATCCCTTGTCTCCCTCCCTACCTCTGGTGGCCTCAGTTCCATTCTCTCCTTTTGAAAGTTCAACAAATTATTGTGATTGTTGTATCTTTATTTTTTTTTTTAGCTCCCACTTATGAGTGACGAAATGCAGTATTTCTCTTTCTGTGCCGGCTTGTTTCACTTAACATAATTTTCTGTAAGTTCCTTCTCTTACTAATCACCAAACATAGAATCCGTTTGTGGTAGTGCTCGACTCACAGTAAGAATTCACCTTACTGTGAATTCCACTGTATAGTTTAAAGTTCCACAGTGTTAACTGAGTATCCATGACCATCGTGGCACAGGCACAACATAACCAAGGAAGGAGGTAGAAGGTAGTGGATATAACTTGAGAAAACTAAGGATAATTCTGAAGGCTAACATACAGCAGTAAACAATCTTGCTTCCTAAGACACACACAATCATGGGGATGTGCATGCAACTTTAAATACATTTCAAAATCATCTCAATGACAAGTTAAAAAATTCAGGTCCCATTTATAATGATCTAATTTTCCCCTCAAAAATAATTTTAATAGCATATAGCCACAGTCTATTTACATGAATAGTAAATGACTAACCTGCATTGGGTATTTTCAAATAACTATAACTAAACATATATCATATCCAGTCTCTGTTATAACTTTTTTAATAATCACATTAACAAATTAAACCTGTAAGATTATATTGAATACATTTTATGATTCTATAAAAATACATATATATTTAAGCACCTCAACATAGTTTTTCTTCATGTCACACAGCTATTGAGGATTTAAAGCTTTAGAGAGCTGGCCGAAACTATCCTCACAAACATTAAGATAAACAGCAGATATCCATGACCCTGGGAAATGGCATATCAAAATAATGGATTCTTCTTTCAGATTATTAAGGGTGCTCTGGGGCGAGGGAGCAGACAAAATGAGAGTGCGCATCCTGCAGGGGTCCACTGTCTTCCTTTCAAATGGAGTTACTGCAGTTTCCACAAGTTGCTATAATGTTTCATGTGTCTGGAACCTTCTTCCACACTTTCCTCTCATTCTAGCTCCCATTTACCCTTCAACATGTGTCTCAAGTGTCATCTCTTCCAGGAACCTTCTCTACACCACACTTCACCCCATGTCCCTCAGGCAGAGCTGAGGCCCCTTTTCCGAATTACCCCATGACACTGAGCTCACTGCCATGACCAAACTCCTTATGGGTGCTGTAATGGGCTATGTCCCCAAGCCCCTCACCATAGCCACCAGCCTGTCAGAGCTGCATCTGGGTCTCTCAGCACCACATCTCCACCATTCATGCATGCTTAGCCTGCATGCAGCAACTGTCTGAGGCCTGAGGTATTACACTTCTCTTGCGTAAGTGAAATAACCTATATATTATATTCTAGGTATAAATCAGTGTTTCAAGAGAACCTACACTTATGACAGACAAAAAGAAGTAAATGGCTTCGATGTACATCCAATATCCCTTATCTGAAATGCTTAGGACAATAAGTGTTCCCAATTTTGGAATATCTGTATGTATTTAATGAGATGTCTTGGGGATGGGACCCAGGTCACAAAATTCATTTATGTTTCACATACACTTTATACACATAGCTGAAGGAAATTTTATACAATATTTTTAATAATTTGGTTCATGAAACAAAGTTTTGACTGTATCCCATGACATGAGGTCAGGTGTGGAATCTTCCACTTGTGGCATCACATCAGCACTCCAAAAGTTTCAAATTCTGAAGCATTTTGAATTTCAGATTTTCAGATTAGGGATGCTCAACTTGTATTAATGTCAATTTATGCAAAAAAGAAAATTTATGTGTGCTAAACAAAAATATTTTTGATTAAAATTATATAGACTATATAATACTAAGAAGCATTAAGCATTGAATTTTAAAGCTCTAACAATACAAACATTTGATTACTCTAACCCAAGAAAATGTGTGCACTGTTGATTCATGAAAACTTCAGTTATTAGTCAAAGTTATAAAAAAATTGAAATTGTAGAATCTAGGATGCCACAGAATGTGGCATTTTAATATTAATCACTGAGATATATATTTAATATGATCTCACTGAGGATAGCATTCTGGCACTAAGTGCCTTGTTTTATCTTTAGATTCTATTCCTGTACTGTTATTTTAAGAACAATATCTTTAGCTAAAGTGCTATCACTTGATTGACTTGTTTGCTTTAATGGTATGAACAAAGCTGGGTTTTCCCTTCATTCAAGGAATATGCAATACAATTTCCTTTAAAACTTGTGCAGAGGAAAATCTTTAAAGATAAATTCACACTCTACTAGCTTTGTTTAAGACTACTATTCTCCCCCATCCCTCCACATGGTGAAAAAGAGAAAGCAAGATGGAAAAAAGGAGAGAGCAATATGTGTGTGCTTATATCTTTTTAAAAGTTAAAACTCATTTACTTAAGGATCAGAAACAGAAATTTAATTATTCAACAAGCAATACTAAGTCTATACCAATTCACAACACAGCAAAGCTCTTTACATGAGTCAAAGAGGAAAGGTCAGCTCTTCCCTTTTAGGCAAACCACATCCAAAAGACATGCAGGACAGGATTAGAAGTTGATGCTTTTGAAACCCTTTAGGTGGGAGGTTGATATTCCCACTAAAAGGTGACAAAGGCTCTATGCAGAGAGGTGGTAATTACTGTTTGGAGAAGAGAAACCTAGTTCAGGGGTGAAAATTCTTCAACTAAAGAAGTCTTCTGGGCCGGCCCGTGGCTCACTTGGGAGAGTGCGGTGCTGATAACACCAAGGCCCCGGGTTCGGATCCCGTATAGGGATGGCCGGTTTGCTCACTGGGTGAGCGTGGTGCTGACAACACCAAGTCAAGGGTTCAGATCCCCTTACCGGTCATCTTTTTTTTTTTTTCCCCTTTTTGTCTTTTACTGACCGATAACGGGATCGCAACCCTCAGTGTCGCACCCGCACTGCGCTCAGCCAGTGAGCGGGAACCGGTCTCCACATGGGATCCAAACCCTCAGCGGGAGCGCCGCCGCACTCCCAAGCAGCGCACTCTCCAGTGCGCCACCGGGGCGGCCTTTTCTTTTTTTTTTTTTCCCTTACCGGTCATCTTTAAAAAAAAAAGAAGTCTTCTTAAGAAGGCACTGGAAGACTGAGCTAATCCACTCAGGAGGAGGGAAACTGCGTAGCTCTTTAAGTCAGAGAGACCTGAGTGTAGACTGCAGCTTAGCCATCTACTACATGGCCTTGGACAAATTACTTGACCTCTCCAACCTTTCAATTTCCTCACCCGAAAAATGAAATAATAATATTTATGCCACTGGACTGTCGTAATGATTAGAAAATAACAAAAGAATTTAAGACATCTCTCGACAATTAGGATATGGCAGTTATTAAAACCACCAAACGATGACTCAGGAGAGCTGAGTGTGCTGCTGCTCGTAAGTAACAGGACTCTTACTTCCTGAGTCACAGTTGTATCCGATGTCTACAAACTCCAAATCCTGACCAGGAAAGTGACTTTTTCTGTGGAGCACATTACAGGAAACAAATTGTACAGCCCCTTCCCAGAAATAAATGTATATGTGTGTTCAAAATGTTTTGGAGTCTTACTATATGGGATATATGACTTTAGACATGCATCCTTGTTGTCTTCTCTATGGGAACTTAAGCCCCACAGGGGCATCTGCAGCAATGGCTGCACATTAAATTGAACTGAATACTAATTAATAGATTCACCCTTGCCCTTTTTAAAGGAACAATTCCACTTATATTAAGACTGTCCTGGTGGCATTTCTAACACTAGTCTCACATGGAACATGAGTATTGCTATAGATTCAATATTTGTGTTCTCCCCAAATTCTTATGTTGAAATCTTAACCCTCCATGTGATATATAAGGAGGTGAAGCCTTTGGAAAGTGATTGGGACACAAACGTGAAGCCCTCATGAATGGGATTAATGCCCTTATAAAAGAGACCCTACGCAGGCCACTTAGCTTATTTGGTAGACTGTGGTGCTGACAACACCAAGGTCAAGGGAGGAGACATGGACCCTGCAGAGGTCCTTCACCCCTTCCACAGTGAGGACACAGTGGGCCCTCACTACACACAGAACCTGCCAACACCTTGATCTTGTACTTTCCAGCCCCCAGAACTGTGAGAAATAAATTTCTGTTTTATATGTGCCATCCATTCTATGGTATTAGGTTATAGCAGGGTGAATGAACTAAGACAAGAATGGTCTTCAAAATTTTAAATTATTTCAAGAGCTTAAATAGTCCGAATTATTCCCCTCCATAGAATATAAAACTTCAAATACATCATTTATAATATACTTTCTCAGAAAGAGTCTTTTGCTATATCAAGACTATATCAGTAAGAAGTTCAAACTCCATAGTAAAACAACTGGAAATATAAATAAGGTATTTCTTGCCAATAAAATCAGTACAACTTAAAAATGAAAATACCTACTCCCCCTGCATAAAATACATAATAGATGTGAGGGTAAATTAATATGGAACAAAAAGGTTTTTTAATCTAGTTCTAATCAGTCCATGGCATAACAGCCACCTGAACACATTGTTTATAAGAATCATAAAATAATACAATCTTTCGGAAAGCAATTTGCTTTTCTTTATATCCTTTAACTCAATCCCACTACTATGAATCTATCCTACAGAAATAATAGTCCTAATACAAAAAAAAATTGTTATGCATAGACACATTCATTGAAGGATTATTTGCATTTGTAAGAAAAAAACCAGAACGCAACTTAAAAGTCTAAAAGCAGGAAAAAATGGTGAAGTAAATTGTGATATTCACTCAATGGTATATTGATATATATACATAAATATTATGCCATAACAGAAAAATGTTTTTTATATATAAGAGCAAGAAGCATGACACAGAAGTGTATGCATACACATGAACACACATATACACAACTCATATCCAAGTAAAAAATAAAAACATAGAAAAAATACAGGAAGGAAGTGTAAGTAGTTATTACTATTGCTGCCTTTACATGTTAAGATAATGGTCTTTTGTTTTAAACCAACATTTTAATAAGGTATTACTTTTTTGATTTAGAAAAGCATTACTAAAAAAATTCATTAGTACCCATAACAAAAAAAAAAATCATGATAGCTTAAATCTTTCATGAGGCAACTGATACATAAAATCCTTATTACAAAGTTATTAACTTCCAAAAATGGGAAATAGTAACAGCATTATAAACACCCTGCAACACATTTCCTTTTAGAAAGCAAAAGGATGAAAGTGGAGAGCTGTTAGTATGGAAAAGGGGCTTACATAATTGTCTCTTGCAGACCAGCCTGGATAAAGCTGCATATGTAGCTGTCTTTCTTTCCGAGCTAATTCATAATATTTAGCCTGCTCTTCACGGGAGAGGGCATGCCACTATAACAAAAAGGGGAAGGAGGAAAAAAACAAATGTAAGCAAAATAGCAACTTTCATGTTCCAAACATTAAAAAATAAAAATATTGAGCATTTAAACTGATTTATTTTTAAATGGTAGAAGACCAAGTGCTGCAGAAATCCACTTGGAGTCTGGTGGCTAGAGTGAAACTCAAACTTTGGTTTCTCTATCCTGTTCTCCGATATCACATGAAACACATCAAAGTCAATCAAAGTATCCAAAGTAAAATGATCTTTGTCACCCACCCTTTCTCTTTTCCAATATAAATTGAAAAGAACTTTCACTGGTGAACCTCAACACCCAGCTTAGCCCTTTTTCATAGTTTGTAGCATAACCTGATATCTGAGCCCAAGTACCACTTATTTATAGAAAATGTGATAATTTCCAGATGTCTTTTAAAACAGATATACCCTCTCCTCATACGGACAATCTCTGTCATACGAAGAGTCTGAAAACTTAATCATATGATCTTGTCTATAGAGCAAGACACAAAAAGTCAGTCTGTCTGTCTCTGCCTCTTCACTGTCTCCTCACACATATAAATGCTAATTGTCTATACAGAGAACACTGATAACATTGTAAAGTCACACAAGCACACTTTATGACTGTGGTTTTTAGCTTCCTTCTGATGGAAAGCAAGGAGCCTTATCTAAGTTTACTTTGCCATCTAGAATTGAGGTTGCAGTTTGTCACATGGAGAATGTAGCTGCTGATATCCTTCAAATTTTACACTTCTTTTTTACATTACTGGCATGTATCATATATAACGAAATAGTTTATGTAGGCAAGGCATCCCTGGGGATGGGATTTTAAGTGGCTCATGCTAGCATACTGCTTTGCATACTTGCCCCAGGTCCCTCAGCAGACAGTTTGAGTATTTTCTCTACTTTCCAAATGCCAGGATCTGCCATCAGAACCTTCTAGGGAGAACTCTGGGGGACCCACTGGCCATGAGGTGATGGCTGCTGCAGGAGGAGGAGGCCTGAGTGTGCACATGCACGCGTGAACACGTGCACATACACTCACTCTCAGCTGGCCAGGAGCCTCCCTCTCCTGCCCTCCCGCAGCTCTTAGGTGTGCCACTTCCAATTTTGCTCCCTTCCCATTCAGGGTTAGGATCACCTTTTCACACTCATGGCTGCCCTACATATTGCTTTTAATCTCCTTGCTCTTATTTTTTTTAATTTTTTTTTTTTTAAAGGTGTGGGTAGGTTGGGGAAAGGAGAGAGGTTGATGAGAGAAAACATTCTCCTGGAGGAGGCTATTTCTACTATCAACTTGGATTCAGCCCCTAAAGTATAGGCAATGAAGCTTTCCCCAAGAAAACAGAAACACCTGCTGCCCTTGTTTGACCATAGAACAAGAAGCTGATCTCAAGAAGACACTGTAGCACCTTCCTGCCATCCCCAGCTCCCGATCCAGCCTCCACTGCAGACACAGAAGTGCCCACAGTCAGGGAAACAGGTCCCATTTCCTTTGAAAGCCCTTAAAAGCCAGGCTCTCTGGGCTGGATAGAGTAGATGATTTATTTTTTAATTGCTTTGGAACTGCAGAATATAAAGTTAAAAAGCATGACACACAGCAGGACTTGGCCTGAACTTAAAGGCAAAAGCAAGTAATACACTTTTTTTAAAAAAAAAAAAAAAAAAAAAAAAAATTGGGGGAGGTGGCAGAAAAAAAAAAACAACCCTGAAAAAGTTACCCAAAACAGTTCTTTGTACTAGCAGAATAAACAAAATTAGACAAATTGAGCCTAAAAAGAAGGCATGTCTGGGGCAGCAGTGGAAGTTTAAACTAGGAAGGAAAAGTCACAATGACTCTAGCAACTGACAGCTTTTCTACATCTGCGACACTGACCTAGTACTGGTAAACCTTCACAGGGAGGAAAAATCAAACTGAACACAATGGAAAAGATCATCCTTGATTTTTTTGCAAAAACACTGATCATTGATATTTACACAGTTGGTTATTGTGCTAAATAAATGTGACTGGCAAAAGGCAAAGCGTTACCAAAAAGGAAAAAAGAAGAAAACAAAAAAAAAGTCTTCCATTTTAAACCTGTTGGTTCATTCATTTCATAAATATTATTCCCCTATATACAACACCTTTAATAACTGCAATATAATAGTATCATTTTATATAATTTATGGATTTATGGTAGCTTTATAACATCCTTAGAAAACACAGAATCATGAAAATTAACTCCTAAAATATGTATCAAGGTTGGGTCTTCTACCCAAACAACCAGGTATTTTTCATTGAAAGCAGAAAAACTTAGGTTGATAAAAAGACTCCTTGCTAACAAAACTGAATAAAATGTAAGGAAAAAGAACAAGGCACAATCTAAACTATTTACCTGAATTTTCCATTGCTTTTACTTCCCTGATATTTCTAATGCACAGAACCTACTCACAAATAAAAGATCATTTACCAGACTAATAAGGTAGGTAACACAATAGTATTCAAGTTTTGCACTGGAAACAAAAACAATGTCTAATACAGACTAGAAAGATAGTCTTTTTTTTACAGGAACTTCTGAAATAATTGACTAAAAATGCTTTTCTATTTCTTTGCTTACTGAAAAATAGAGAGTTAATTTTTAAAAAAAATTAAATTTTATTGCCAAGTTTTTAGCAAGTTGTGGAGAAAATACCCATTTAATTTGAAAAAACTTATACAGTTCCAAGAAAATACATTCTGACAACAAATATGTGATAAATGGATTTCCTTTAATGGCCGGAAGGTCTGCAAAGAAAAAACTTATTTTAAAATAAAATTTGTGCTATTATTATTTATAATATGAATTAAGATGAAAACTTTAATTCATATGAATGAACATACCTATTTTAGAGATATGGTAAAGATGAATAAAAATCAAAAGATAAAATGTTTCAGGATGAATTTAAGATCCACATTTAAGAACTTCTAATTATCCCAGTGTAAAACTTCATGATTTTAAAGCAAAGAACTTTAAAGAGCTAGCAAAAACTGCCCTGCCAGAGGGGAGTTATGAAAGGACAGAAAACCTGATCTTAATCAAAGATCTCAGAGACCTATAAATAGAAACAGGTGTCTAAATCAAAGACAGAGAGAGACCCCAAATGAGAACCACCCTTTAAGACATATGCTCAGATCCGGGGATTGTTAAGGGAGTCGAGAAAGTAGCAACTGTTGGAAACGTGCATTAAAAATAGCAAGCATACCTCCATTTCATATCCTCACTTACTCTCTTGAGCAGGAAAATAATTCTCGCTAGAAGGCCAGGGAACTTTAACTCAAAAAAGGAAAAGCTAAAAGTTTTATACAAGCTGAAATAAAAACATCAACTCTTTTTTTTCCCTCTGATTTGTTCTTTTTAAAGAGTCACGGAAAATGGTCATCAGCCTTTAAGCTCTTAAGGTGGAGTTCTTCAAAGATGATGGGAATCACTCATCTGCTATGATCTGGTTTGGGAAATCATTGTGATTATTGTTATTAAGTGTTTAAGAATCCACAGGGAGATAGGGCATTGTATACATGACACCAAAATCAGCTATAATCTATCACCACACCCTGCTTCTGAAACCCTGGTGTCTTGCAGATTGGAAATAACTGCATTTTGAGGCTATCCAATGGGAATTGATAACGCAAGGCCTGCTTCCATCCTGTGCACATGGACTAGTGATCTCCTGAATGGTTTTTGTTATGAATGCTCAAATTTATTAGGTTTGGAACAAACATGGTAAAAATTATCATCAACAATAGCTAATACATGGTCCCCTATGTTTTGCAAGGGTTCTTAGACCCTCATCTGAATGTTCATTTGCAGATCATAAATATCTTGGGAGATTGCAAAAACAAATACACAGAGTTATAAATTAGGAAGCTGCCATTCATATATGAAAAGCATCAGCAAATTAAGATGAAGCATTTATAATATTATAATATACTCACAGTCAAAATGTAATTTGAATTAGAGAAATTCAAAATTTTCCACCACTCCTCAAATATCTAACTAAAACCATTTTAATCCTGCAAAAATTACTTGGAAGTACCTGGAAGTCTTTGGCTGGTGGTTGGATAAAGAATCTTAGAGTGTCTATCCTAGTCATGGCCTAGTGCCTGGCTAGGTGCTCAGAAAAGTATCATAGCATGGGTTAAAGAAGAAATGAAAGAAAAGGAGCAATCCAGAAACCTGGTAAATGTACACTGTAAGAATCACAGTGAAAATGTAATTTGAATTAGAGAAATTCAAATGTTTCCACCTAGAAAGTTCTAGAGTGAGCTTTCTAGAATCAAGGCTGCTCTGGATCACAGAAATTCTTCCATTTGAAGCCTGACAGTAGAACAGATCTGCTTCTGTCTTGGAAGGAGTGGCCACCTCCATTTGCCGGCTGGTCCCCCCAAAGGCCTTGCTGTAGATCCCTAAACAGGCCAAGTGCTTTCTTTCCTGCTTCGAGGTAGCACATGCTGCTCCATCTGGGCAGTCTCTCTCTCCCCCACTAACCTCTACTCATCTCTCAGGTCTCAGCTTAAATACAATTTTCTCAGAGGGGCCTTCCCTCGTCCTTTTTGTTCTTTCTTACAAAATCTTGCTTGTTACATACACAGTATTTATCACAATTTTAACTATATATTTAGTGGGTAATTATTTGTCTAATGTCTGTGTTCTGTCACAAAACTTTAAGCTCCACAAGGCAAGGACCTTAAATATTTTATTTGGCATTATTGCCTACAGCCTAGCATCATGCCTGGCACATAAAAGACACTCAATAAATATTTGTTTATAGAATGAAACCAGGTAAAACAGTCATCATTGACAGGAAGTTTCCTATGTGCCAGCACAGTTGAAGTTGTTTACTATGCATTGTATTATTTAATCCTCTTAAAGGCTATTACCAAGTCTGGCTCCCTTTGTTACTTCCTGAAGTGTCAGCTGGTTATACAAACATATTCAATGACCACCTGATATGTACCTAAATTTGGGCAAATTTTAATGAAGCAGCTCCATGGTTACCACAAATATCAATATACCATCCCACTACTTACCCTTCTGCCTAGAATCTGGTTGATAGCTGCACTTTCCTTGAGAGTACACTCAGCTACGACATTTGCTCTCATTTCTTTCATGTATAACATAAAAGCATTCAGAGGCTTCTTAATGTGAGGTCTTTTTGGCTCCTGCTCCTTTCTCTGTTCATGCTGAGGCTTCCTAAAAGGTGGTTGTGGTGGTGGTGGTGGTGGTTGGGGATGGGGGTAGAAGGAATGAGGATGGGATGGGAGGAGGAGAGAAGCAGAGCATCTGTTTACATCACTGCACTCAGACTGGGGACAACCCTCTTGGCTCTCTGCAAGCCCCCAGAACACCATCAACTTAGAGGAGCAACTCTAGACTCACTTGATCAAACACTGAGATGCAAACCACCAAACCAACAGGGCTTCTTATCTACTCAGTGACTCTGCAAGTAAGGATCCTTTGGCTTAATAAAATGTGCGTACAGCTGTAGAAGCGTTTAACACAAAATAGAAATGGATTTGTAATTGTGAAGATGCTCCATCTAGGGCCCTGAGGCTGACTTTCTTGGTCACCTCAGAAGCTGGACACATAGTACACGTGATCATTCCTCTTTCAGAACAGAGGTTTTTCACTTTGGGGGAGGAGGGTCAAGGGCCACTTTGAGAAGCTAATGAAACTTTAGACCCTTTGCTCCAAACAGATGCATACTGACTTTGCATGCATTTACAGGTGCTTGATGGACTATCACATGCTGCCTGCCACCCTTGACACTCCTGTCCACAAACCATAGGTTAAGAAGGTCAATTACTAATCTCTTCATGGTAAATTAATTTAGCCTTGCTCTAACAGTCTGAGACACGCCTGTCTTAATAGGGAATCCTGGGCTTTGTTTGCCCCTTTCCACTGAATTCTGTGCTGTTAAGTTTTGAACCAGGGTAACTGCATTCCAGAAGAAGTACATTAAACCTCCAATCTACTTCCCTCAGGTACTGACAGATTCTCCCCAATAATCTGAACCAAATTAAAATCCAGTGGCAAATGGCAAAACAGCTCAAGATTCTTCAATGCCTACACTCTGAAGACTCCTCCATTTTGCTGAAGTTCCCATGATCTTTTAAGGTCTGTGCTTCTTTCCAATTTCAGAATCAAAATCAGTGCAGTGAAAATCAAGCTGTATAATGTCCTCAAGGCAGAGCTACACTGAGAGAGGGGGAATAATAGTAAGAATAATAATAACAGAGAAGGAGAAGTTTCAGTAGAGAAGAAGCATGAGTGTATTTAAATCCTCCACTCTTCCGATGTTCACCGATATGCGCAGGTGCATACTTACACGTGCATTAGATCACTGTCAGTGTGGGGATGTTCCTGCTTGACCTGAGGTGTTACAATAGCTGGATGAGGGATGCCAGTTGTGTGGGGACCAGGAGGACCAGGAATCATATGATGGGAAAACCTAAAAGAAGGAAAGAGAAGAAAACTGTGTGTACTATTGGCTGTTGTAGCAAAAGCCAAATGGAATTTAAAAACAATCCACTAACTGCTATTGGCTAAGAGTACAAACACATCTTTATGCACAAGAGTATTAAACATAAATTAGAATGAGATGATAATTATTTTTTCTTTGTGTATGCAGGTGGAAAATATTTATAATTACTCCCTGCAGTTTTTTCAAACTAATAGTAGAATCTGACATTTCTTCTGGAAGCATTGTAGACTACAGGATTTTTATAGAAAAGGAAATAATTTTTCTTGCAAAGCAATTTTCAAATATGGATTTCAATGAGTAATTATTGGAAATATAACACTTTATTAAAATTTAGCTTTTTAAATGATTTTTAAATGAAGCTAAAGACATCACATATAAAAACCTATGCCTATATTCCTAAGTAAACCATCTTATTAGAGTTTTCTCACATTACTCACTTCTTCATTAATACTAGGAGAGAACAATTCAGAAAAGAGACAGGAAGATTTTCTCAATCCCCTATTTAATAAGATTCCCTTAACATCATCCAAAATGATTTTCTATACAAAAATAATGTTTGAGAGATCTAGTCCTATGAAAACCTGATAACAAAATTAAAGGGAAGGACACGGTTCTGCATCAAGGTAAAAACCACACCTGCTAAAGGCTTTTTCCTAAGTATGCATAGAGCATTAAAATAATCTTCAAATATCCACCACTAGCCAATATGAAAGAGGGAAATTGCCATGCAAGAAAAATAAAATAAGGACAGTACTCTCATCAAGCTCTTGGGATAAATTTGGATACGCTTTAGAAATTTTTGTTTTTCAAATGGTTTTAAATTAAACATTTAATTCAACAAAGATAATATTCTCAGGTCTTTCATCACAGCCTGTACAATTAATTCCGACATCTGGGAAGAAAAGAAGAAACTCTACTTGGATACGTAATATTTCAGGAACAAAATTTAAAATATTAAAGAAGGTATGATAAAAATACAAATATTTGACCAAATAATGCTGCTTTGCTAAATGTAGTTTTTACAAAAATATATGATGCTAGTTATTTGCCGGTAAGAAAATCCTGTTGTCAGATTGTTGTTACAATGTTAAAAAGTGTAAAAACATATTTTAGTGGGAAGGATATTAATTCTACTTCCCCACCCCTACCCAACCAGCTAGATTTCACAATTCACTGAACAAACAGTATTTTTTAAAATAGATGAAATTCACCACGGAACTGCGAATTTCATACCCATATAAAAAAGACAGATTCACAATCAGTTAATAACCCACCAGTTTGACTTCCAGCACAATAATGCTAGCTCTCTTGAAAAAGCCACATCGAACACACAGATGATACACCACCAATGTGTGTGTACATCAAGCACAGGGCACAGAAGCCATCCTTTCCAGAAGCAAAAGCATCACACAGAGCAGCCTCAAAGTGTGGCACGGCAGGCTTCACAGAGCTTCGCTTGCACTGATGTGTCCACACAGGGCCTGATTCACACACTAGGACGCACACCTGCACGGCCAGACAGCCTGTAAGCACTGTTCTGTCTCCCGACAGCCTTGGTCCAGGAAGGCTCTAGGCTACCTGGGCATTTTCAAACACTGCTGCATTAAACTGATGTAACTTTCCTCAAATAATAGAAGCAAATAATAGAACTCAGATCAAACCAGTTTTTATCCTCCTCCCTTACCCCACCCCTGGCATATTTTGAATTGAACAAGCTCTTCTTATAACATCTACTTTCGGGACCTTTCATATCCCACAGTTGGGTGGCCACGAATTCTTTTGGAGGCAATGTTTCCCAGTGTGGCTGGGCCCATCTCCCTGCTGGGCATGGCTGGTCCTGCTGGGGCACAGCCTATGGCTCCTACCCAGGAGTCCTACGACACCTAGTGTGGGAGCCAGGCACACTGCACAGACGGATGCGTGGCTGAGCTACACCCCCTCCTAGCTGACCGAGAGGCAAGCAGAGGCGCACAGATGCGAGCACGAGAAGAGCAACTTGTCCTCGAGTGCCCCGTTTCCACCTGCACCTACCTGGACATGGAAGTGTCGACTGACAGTGAGGATGGGTAGGGTTGCCTGAATCCACCCGTGATGGGATATACAGGCTGACCTTGCCTGAGGTCACAGAAGAAAGGAACCCATCAATGACGAGACACGAGTTACCAACCAGCAGTAAGAGTTTGATGAGGGGAGAAGAGGGAGACACTCAAACAGCATCTTGTGGGAGTGTTACATGCACACCACAGCATTTCTTCAGTTACACAACCATTTCCCTTCCTCACCCTCCACCCAAAGCATCATTCACTTTGAAGAAAATCTCCCACCCTCAACTTTAAAGCAAGACAGTCCCTGAATTCCTTGTCTTTTATCCCTTCCCCTCTCCCAACCCTATTAATGCTTTCAGCAAAGAAGGCACTTATTGTTTATTGAACATAACGAAACCCTGAGAATAGTGAAATATTGCCTTCAGAGAAGGAGCTTAGTAAATTCTTTATCAGAGTCATTGAGAATTTCAGGGAAGGGAAGAAGGAAGGAAATAAAATTTTATATTTATATGAAAATGAACAAACATTTAAAAACACTGCACCTTTCTCCCCACATATACCTACGTTAGAGTCAAGAAATAAATGACCAATTCACTGGAATTATTTTCTCTCAACCCCGAGAAGTCCATCTTTCCCTCTGTTCTTTCCCCATTTCACATTTTTCATTTACACAGTCTCTATGTCCGGCTGCCAGTGGTCCAACTCAGCACGGGATTATTGCTCCTAAGGAGCTAAGTTCAGACAAAATGACTGATCTAAGTTTCAAAGTATACATATAATCAATTAAATTAAAACAGAGTTATTGACTGAGAGATTCAATGCGAGAGAGAGAGAGAGAGAGAGAGAGAGAGAGAGAGAGAGAGAGAGAGAGGAAGGAAGGAAGAGAGAGATAGAAAGCGGGAATATCCATGGCCGGATGAATGCTCCTTACCAAAGAAGAAATAATTGTAAAGATGTCCAGATAGGGAGACAGCGGGCAATGACATGGGGACTGTGGGGATAGAGAGCCAAATAGAGAGAGGAGGGAAACATTTGCTACAGCGGAAGCATGTTTCTATGGAGTGAGAAGTGGGGAGGAGGAGAATGGAGAGGAAATGGGAGTGGGGGGAGGAGATGTTGTCTGTTAATAAAAAAGTTATAAAAATAGGCTATACTATATAAAATTATTCTTTCTTCCCCAAATTTATTTCCTTTACCTGTATAATTAAAAAATTTAAAGGGAGAAGTAATAATGTTTTTAGAAATAAAGAACAAAGAGCATTAGCATACGGATTCTGAAAAACAGCCCAAACATCAGTTTTTTACTCTTCTGAATTCAAATTGGATGTTTACTTTATTAAAATCCAAAACATGGCTTTAGTTTGTTAAATTTCTAATTACCTGTCATTTATCTCACTTGCCCATTTATAAGCAAAGGTAGATATTCAATGTGTCTAAGTTCATGTTTCAAAAATGTAAGTTTTTTAATGAACATTAAAAAACTAGAAAAGACAAGCCACAGTGAGCACTAACTTTGTACAGGCATAGCAAATGCCCAAAGCCACAAACTGAATCCATAAAACTATAAGCTTCAAAGCAAATGCTACACAGTCATTTTCTACACATATTAGCATACAGATTCAATCCATTTCAAGTCTGTATGTTTTTTAATCTTTTAAATAGGAATAAAATAAAGTTAGCACCTTGCTTGTTGATGTGAAATTTCTTCAACTCTACAAGGTTACCATTCATAAAGCTCATTTCCATGAAGGGAAACTGAAAGAATATGTGTCCAAATATCTGGCTGAAGGTTACAGGAAGGATCTTACCAGCCTAAAGGTGGGGTGATCTGTCCAACACCACCCGGAGACAGGGGATAAAAGGTGGGGATATCAGGAGCCGGAGGATGTCTGGACATGCCTATTAAAAAGCACAACAGAGAGGTATCATTTCAGATTCTTAGGACATTTGACCAGAGGAGCAATACAAAAGCAATAAAATGTTTTATGCCATTAATACTTAAAGTCTAGAACAAAACAATATTTATTCATCAGATCCAATGAGCAGAAGTCTGTTAGCTTTTCTCAAGATTTCGACATCTTGGAGAACAGTCTTCAGGTAGTAAATCTTGAGGAATTCCTAAAGGAGTAAAAATGCTGCCTGCCAGTAAAAGTCATCAAAATAGACTTCTAAATTATTTACCTTGCCCCCTTTATTTCACTTTGGTTAAGAAAATAGTAGACAATTGTTTTTGTGTCGAATGGAAATGGAAAATTGTTTTGTGTAGGATGGAGAATGACAGCCCTTCCTAAGTAGATGGCCTGCCATGGTGCTCAAGGATTAGACAAATTGCTGCTTTCATATTTTCATTGGTTCCCTTATGGATACATAGATTTGGGAAATGTGATACCTCAGAGGATCGCAGATTAATTAGGAATCATCTTCAGCCCCAAATGGTCACACATGATATGATTCATTCAGTCTCTGTCTGCCACTTCAGCTCCAACTAAGCTCTTCATCAAGTTGAATCCTCTGGGCTCCAAGGTCAAACTGTTCTGGATTAGTTGTATCCCACAGAAAATGAGAAGGCCCCAAATTGTTTCTCAAGCTCACACTCCCTAGAGTACACTGCCCTAAAACCACCTAAAGATACCCTAATCCTAATCTCAAATGAGGATCCCTTTGATTACACCTTACAGAAAAAAAAAAAAAAAAAAAAAAAAAAGACAGAAAAAAGGAAGGGTAAAACGAACATATAAAGTGTAAAAATTTAGATTTAATTTATTTGGAGGAAAGTGATTCTCAATAGAAAAGAGCCATAAAACTTTTTTCATACAGCTAATTATAGCTTTAAAAGACCATTTCCACATAAAAGCACACAATCCAAGGTTTAACACCCTGAATATGCATTCAGTGACGGTAAATACAAATATATTGTGTTGGCTAATATGTGAAATTAGCTGAGCACATGGAAGATGTTCTTTAAATATTCCTGGTGTTTTGTTTTGTTTTGTTTTGTTTTTACTGTTTAAAATAACTATGAATTTCATTTTGATTTTAAAAGAAACTGAAGGCCTTAAACATATGGGAATGACTTAAGAAGTACTGCCTTCAAAGATGATGTTAATTTGACTTTGAAGTTAGAACAAACTATTTCTCAATTTTTACAGAAAGTAGGCAGGAAGGAGAAAGGTCTTTAATCTCCACCTTAACAGGAGAAATGTGTGCCTCTCCACCAACTACCGAGTTACTGAAGACACATTTCACATCATTTATTCAACTAGTATTTATTGAATACTTACTGTGTGTTGGAGGATATATTCAGCATAGCCTTAAACGTGCAAACCTTTAAAAGCAACTTTTATAAATATAGATGAAGTAATTCTGGAGTTTGACTGCATGGATATGCCACTCACCTAGCTACATATCTTTGATAAAGTTATTTAACTGTTATTGTTTTGTAAAACCAGAATAATAACAGAATAGGGGTTGCTGTGAATAAAGAATGCACTAACATGTGTAATACGGAAAAATGATTGGTATAATGCATAAGCACTATGTAAGTGTTTCTTCTTATTTATAAGGATGAAATGGAAAACAGAAAGTATAAACAGGTATATAAACCTAGTATTTCCTAAAAGCTCTTTCATTTTAACATTTTTACCAGACTGGTAATGAGTAGGAAAAGAAAAGATTGGTATTAACCTCCTCTTCCCTTCCCCCACTCCACACACACACATTGAGAGATGAAAACTAGTGTGCTCCCTAATAGAAAATTAACCTCAATTTATTTGTCCACAAATGAGAATGGGTACTGCTGACAAACAGTTTATTACTGATTATTACCAAATATAATAATTCTACAATAATGTATTATATAATTACATAATTATATAATCACAAACATATTACTGAATAGTTCCTTTTAGGGTTAGAGTATGAACATGATACTCTTTTGGATTTTTTTCTAGATAAAACTAACTAGCATACTAGGAACTTCGAAATCAGCAGCTCTGGCCTCAGTACCATCATGCTCTAACCAGCTGAAGTACATGATATACCCAAAAGGCAGGCAGGAGGAGAGAAGAAAGAATAAAAGCAAGAGACCGAGTAAGCTTAGTTTTTTGGCAATAAGAGTATCCAAATGGAGGTACACAAACTCAGTATCACGTAAATGAGTGCTTTCCAAATCAAAATGTATGTATCTCCAGAGGTACACGAAGCCCAGGACAAACATAACTAAAAACAGGATCCTTAGATTAAAACAAGCACAAATAGTATATCGAGTAGAATTCAAAAATCACACAATTTTTGTTCTAAAAATTTTTAGAACAAAATAAAGACTAAAACACGTGCAAGCAGACAATTCCTGATCATGCCCACTTGGCCTTTCTCTGTAACTCTAGAGAGTTCGTTAAAAAAATTAATTTGCAAAGCAATGATATATTACAATTAGGCAAAACAAGGTAGGGTAGCAGTAAGAGATGGAAACAGAAGAGAAAATATAAATGTAGTTGGTAACCAGTTATGAACTTGTCTCTTTTTAAAATTGAACTGTCCTAGAATTCTTGAGAGAAAAACCATTAAACCCTGATGTGTTATTCTTTCAAATAAGTTAATGTTTCAAAGTGCTTTGAACAGGATCTAGGACACAGTAAGCACTATTTAATTGTTAGTTAAATAAATAAATCGTTAAAAATTAAATAAAACACACTGTTGGATTCTTTTTGCTAATTGTTTGAGGCTTTTATATTGATTTTTAATATAAAAACATATTAAACATGTTTAATATGTGACTGAGACTGTGACCCACACGTTTAAATTGCCCACTTCACGTCTCCCTTCAGATATCTCAAAGACACCTCAAACTCACCATGACCAAGATCATATTGTTGACATTCCCTTTCAAACTCAACCTTCCTCCTAAGATCCCTATCTTAATTCCCTTTCTCACCATATATCCACAGACCTGTCTTTTTGGTGTTTCTTATTCTTTGGAGACTGTTGATAAAAAGAAGCAGGGTGGAGGAAAGATGGGGAATGAAGAATAAAACAGAGTCAAACCTGGAAACATCTGTATAGGTGAGTCTTACCTTCTCTAAGTCAAGGTAAGTGGGCTCTACTCCAGACCAAGCACAACAGTAACTAAGTCTTAGATAAGTGTTCTATCTTAACAACAGTGGGAACTGAAGGTGTTCAGTATTCTACCTAGAAGTGTTAACAGTAGCAGAAAAGAACACCCAGCCACTGAACTCCTCTCTTTTACACACTCATTAAATTTCGTTGTCCATTATAAGTCAAAGATAGGACAGGACAAAAGGGTAAAATGCAGGTGGTGGAAAATTTTACTCCTTGACATTCTCTGCCTTTCCGGGGTTTTATAAGATCTTTTATTCTGAACTTTCACAGTCCAAGAGTGCACATACATGGGAAGAGCAACAGGCATGCTGAGAGCGAATCCATCCTCAAGGGTGGCCCTGAGCAGATGGGACCAGAGGCACAGAGAACCAGAGCTCCCGGTCCTACCAACCCACACCCATACTCGTCAGGCAGAAACTGGACATTTTAATTTTTCAGACATCTTACACCGTGTCGTTTTCTGTAAATGAAGTAGAAGCAGAACTTGATATTAATGTAGAGGAGTAAAACAGAATTCATATTACTTTCACTTTAAATAGAGATAGTTTTGTACTTTATTATTTACGATATCTAAGCTGGTGCTGATAAATAACAAAAAGAAGATAAAACACAATGGGGATATAAATGAATAACCAAGAGAAATCACAAGAGGCTCAAAAGAATAATACCTGAAGTCAAAATCTCCTACTTGCCCCTTTTCTAATATTTACAAAAATATTACTATCAACACCTTGTGCATTTGTGCATGAAGTAAAGAAATACTATAGAGGATTGAACTTTTAAGTATATTTGCACAATATATTGGTTTATATTGTAGATTTTCAGAGCTGTCTCTTGGAAAATGACTCTACTGTACTTTTCTTCTGTTTTTTAATTCTAAAAAATAAAACAAACAACAAATCCTTAAGGGTTTCTAAAGAATTGTTATCAAATGAATTACTCCTGTCTTCTACAAATGTATTTTGATCCACCTACTGTATGGAGCAAGACATGTGAAAGATCACTCAGACTGGTGGGACTTGGCTCCTCATTTAGCAAAGGAGACCTGGGAAGGCAGGGGCCCTCACCTTGTTTGGAGTTGACATCTGATGGGATGTGTGATGGGTGTGATCCTGGAGAAAAGTGCTCATCGCTGTAAGTGATGAGGGGGGTGAGAGGATGGACTGCGTGGGATGGCTGCACCACGGGAACTTTATTTGACTGCAAAATAAGCACAAGGTCAAAGTTAATAGGGATGCCCAGCTCTTATTTTCTCTCCAAAAGGAAAAATTACACAATAGCAGTAACCAGTTGTCAGCATAACCCAACAATCATCTTCAGACCTTGGCAACTGATATCATCTCATTTAGAACTTCAGAATTTTCCCGTGGTAAATACTCAAGTACATGAATATCTCACCAAAAGACTATCAGTTATTTCATCAGTGCCCCGTTAGAGATTTAGGTTGGTCACTATTATTTATTTATGTGTAAATATTTATACACATCTACACTCCCGTTTGGATTATCTTCTCAGGTTAAGTTCAATAAAGAATTACTGGAGCAAAAGTTATGGATGTTCTATAAGCTCTTTATTCACTACACATGTCTGGCACAAAAAAGGAACTCAATAAAAAATTGTCCAATGAACAAATAAATGAATAAATATTGCCAATTTGAAAGGCAAATTTTAAACAATCCAATAAATATAAATTTCCTGCATTACTAGCCCCTTAGTTTAAATAATTTTTTATTTTTATGTTTGTACATCCTTAAAAACCACGTCACACCATTTTTTCATAATCTATATAGCTTTGTCAAACATGAGAACCTATTCAGTTCATCTTTTGCTCCTCTATTTTCCAGAAGTACTAATTGATAAAAGGGAATTTCCAATCTTGAGTTTAATTGCATAATATGAAATATAGCTTAAGAACATTTTAAGTTGTTAACATTTTATATTTTAATGTACTTTTTATGTCTTATACTTGTTGACAAATTTTACTACTTAACTCGGAAGTCCTAAACTACATAACAGTAACACTTTTTAAAGGTTCAGGTTACCTATATGGACATCATCAGTTTGAAGTCCATGATCATTTGACTGCAGACAAAGTTAACGTTGTCATTGTTTCTTCCAAGAAAGTGCTTCCTAAGTAAATCAGTAATGTAAACAATACTCAGGCAGGTTTAACCTAATTATGGGATTACAGGGATCATTTTAAAGAAAGTCCACAACCAGTCCCCTCAAAAAAGAAGGGAAACTCACTCAACACAATTACATAAATGTAAAAGATGTTTCTGATTTTAAACTCACCTACTAGTTAAAGCAGTCTCAGGAAGATCTCTATTTAGAAACACCATAATAACAAGTAACATAAATTGAAGAGGAATAGAATGTAATGAATTCACTAGTTCAGACATGCCTCCACCATAATTAGTTTGAATTAGTGAGATTTTACAGTACTACAGATTAAAATTCTCCAGAAGCAAAAAGCAAAAAAAAAAAAGAAAGAAAAGAAAAAGAAAAAAACCCAAGGAAGTGCCGAAAACACTCCACAGTGTGAACTGCTTAAAATGTGGGACTGTATTTGAATAGAGGGCCCCATAACATCCTTGTGTATGGTAGCTGCACCTATGACGTACACTGATTTTCAATTTGATGTTTTTTTTTTTTTTTACAAATTAGGTGTAAAAATCATGTAGCTCCAATGGGAAGGCTTACCCTCAGGAAAATTAAGAATAATTATCCTAGTAATACTTAATTCTCTTTACACCCTATCATTACAACCTCCATCCAAAAGAAATTTATGGGGCGAAAAAAAAGCAAAGGGAAAAAAAATTCACACTGTTTTAGACAGTGATAAAATTTCCATACTAGATTTTCCCTATTTTATGATTGTCAGCTCTTCTCTAATGGCAAAACTTGCATAGTTCATATAGCCCGTGGCATTTATTAAATAGAGCACCATTATCAAAGCCACACAACTTTTTTCTATACACCTCAGCACAAACATCTATGCATATAAATTTATAAAAAATTTAAAAAGAATTTTTAACGCTTTTCAAGTGTTAGTGATGCAGTTTACCCAAAATACAGAATGAGCTTATTAAATACAAGTAATTTAGACTGCTAGAGGAGATGGCAGGGGGTGGGTGGGAGTGGGGATAGGAGAATATTTTAATAAATCCTTTTAAAAACGGAAACAAAACTCTCAACAACCAAATGCTAAAATGAATATATTTCAACTATACCTCAGAATAACTGTTTTGAGTTTCATTTTTGAAAGTCTCATAAGAAGCATAATTGCCAAACAATCTACAAAAATATTTTCTTAGGGTAGTTTTAAAGAGGAAGCATTGCAGAAGTCTTCTGGGGAAAAAAATTATATATATAAAATAAGCAAGGCTCTTATTTCCAGAGCACCACCTTAAGGAACTTGCATTAGCAGGCAGCATCTTCTTAATGTCTGACCTATCCCTCCAGTCATATAGCTCAGAATCTGGTGCCATGAATTTTTGCTAAATTATGCTATCCTTGCTCTCCTCTTAATTTTACGGTTTTCAACACAGATTTGCTTTCCTGTGGGAAGGAGATAAGAAGCTGAGGATTTTAATTTAAGCTCTGGCCTTGTCTTATATTTTGCAAGATGGATAGCGAAAGCAGTACTAGTAGGTATGTTAAAGCCAACAAGGATTACGTCCATTTTTGTGGCCAAATAATAAAAGCAATATGAAATCTCAATGATATGTGTAAGCAGAATTCTAAGGGTTATATTCTGTCTCCTGCCGACCATCTCGGCCATGTATATAAATGGAACAAAGTGGATTCCACCCTACACTGCAGATAGCTGGCATACTGCCATCACGGTCAAGTGCCCTCAGCCCTACTGGTGGGCTTCCTCTGATGTCAGAGTTACTGTCCTTTAAAACTATATGCACACACAAGGTGAGAACCTTGGCACTACTACTTTGGTTAAGTTTTAAGACAAACAGTATAACCATTCTGAATTCTAGTCTTCTAATCTCTAAATAACAATGTGGTGTATTTTGGTGGTGGGACTAGGTGACAGGGAGAATAATCAACCCATTACTCATGTCTCTGTAGACAAATTTATGTAGCTACATTATAATGCACACTTATACATGTATATTTATGCATATCTATATTTTAAGCACCTAAGCTTTTCCCAGTACTATTCCAGCACCAACTACCAATACAGACAAGGGCCAGGAAGTGGAGTCAGGGGTGGTATTGGAAACAAAGAATATGTAAAAAATCAAACAAGCAAGCAGAATCTGAACAGACAGCATCAAGTACTATGAAGAAAATGATGAACCAGGTGATAGGAGAGACAGTGTGTGTCTAATCCTATGCTTTCATACCATGTTAAAACTGTAAGAAACCTAAAGTCCATTTAGTACTAGCTCCTTATTTTATAATATGGGAAGGTGGTCAAGCCAGGACTACTGCCAGCACTTATAACAGTATGCCCAGCTCACTACACAATGCCAGTAATGCTGGGTCACTGCAAATACAATGGGCATGGAATACCTGAGAGGCTCAATACAGTGGAATCAAGTAGTAGAGAAATTCAATCGTTTTGGCTCTTCCTCTGTGCTATGTACTGTACACACAGTGCCTCACTTAACAGAACCCAAATCTCCTGATTCCTACTCAGGTGCTTTCCCACTACACATCTCACTGTAAGGGAGGGAGGAGGAAGAAAAAGGATAAAAATCACTTTTGATTCTTTTTCATTCATAGGTATAGTCAGGTGAGTTTTAGCTGCCAGTGGAGAATTACCAGGTATTCCCAATGCATCCTTTGTTTTATTATCCCAGGGTAATAGTATGCATAATCACTCCACCTTTATGAGATTCCTGACAGCCTTAAATCATCCCAAATTCTTCACTCCTGCTCAAAGAGGTTGAGTAACTTGTCTAAGCTCACACAGCAGTAAGAATCTGAGCGGGGCTGAAGTCCCTAGTTTTCGGATGACTCTTTCCACCCAGGCTACAATGCACGTTTATCTCTCAGGGAATGCTCACAACCTCCTTCCAGTTGGTTATCATTCAATAAACAACAAAAAATATTTTTTTTTTCCTTTTTGTCTTTTTTCGTGTCCGGCAACGGATCGCAACCCTCAGTGTCGCGCCCATACCGGACTGGGACCAGCCACGGGATCGCAACCCTCGGTGTTGCTCCCACACCTGGCTCAGCCAATGAGCGGGAACCAGTCTGTATGTGGGATCCGAACCCTCGGCGGGAGCGCCACCATGCTCCCAAGCGGCGCACTGTAGCAGTGCGCCACTGGGCCGGCCCTGGTTTTCTGATTCTCACTGCACATTCTCTAATCTCGGGCAGGTGATTGGTGGGTGAACAAAGGAAAAGTCATAAAGTTGGAAAAAGCAGGTACTGGAAAAAGGATAGAAAATATCGAGGTAGACTCTGAAAGACAGCTCTCCCACCTGTACTCAGCACTCATACATGGCTACTTAGTAGAAATCCCGAAGTCCTTTCTCAAGTTTGAAAACCACCATCGGGCCATCCTAAGCACATAATATAATTACAGCAACACTTACCAAGTGCTTACTCTATGCCACACACTTTATCCTCACAACAGCCTCTGAGGCAGGTACTACTATTATTTCCCTTTTATAGATAAGGAAACAGGCATGGAGAAGCTAAGTAACTTTCCCAATGGCATATAGCTAGTAAGTGGCAAAGCCAGGATTCAAATACAGAAAGTCTGGCTCTAATGGTCAGGTTCGTTACCAGCACGCCATGTGGCCTCCCTAAAGAGCCAAGTTCCTAAAATCTTGGACATTGAGTGGACCATCTGGGCCACACCTAACAGTATGTGACATCTATGAAATGACTGTGTGGTCTCTGTCCCAGGCACAGAATTCACACCAGACAAAGAGGCACCTCAGGAGAAGCAGTTAGAGCTGCAGAAACTCAACTGCTGCCTTTCTCTCCAGCACTGGAAAATATTCCAAGGAAGCTTGCTTGGCTGCCACCCAGGCTGGTCCATGCAGGTAAGGACCTCTTTGGCATCACAGCCAATAAAACCCACACCTCCTGTGGACACAAAGTGGGTGCCACTTAGGGATCCTGAGAACCACCCCCCAAAGCAGCATTCCCAGAAATGACCCACTCACCGCTGGCAGGAACTCAAGGTGTCGTGAAAGTTGTTAGCCTCCAAGTATGTGGTTCTG